GCGGTGGGGACCGGGGGCTGTCCGCGACCCAGGGCGGGCCAGGGGCCACCCGGCGGGCAGGGGGCTGAGTAGGCGGCGGCGGAGTGTGCGCGGCCGAGCCCCCGAGCGCACATGGGCGCCCCAGATGTGGCCGCGGCGCCGCAGCTGGAGCGGGAGCGGCCGCCAGAGGAGCGCGGGGAAGAGGCGGAGGAGAAGGAGGAGGAGGGCTTCAGCGGCCCCGGGTACCTCCACGCTCGGCTCCCCCGCCCCGCCGCCCCAAGCCACTCACCCGGGCCACCTCCCTCACTCCGCTCGCCTCGGGGCCGCCAGCCTCGCCGCCCCGCACGCCCAGTCCAGAGGTGGCCCCGGATGGGGACTCCGGGTCACCAGGCTTGTCACTATTTGGGGGTGGCTGGGGCGCCCCGCCGGCGTCTGCGTCCGCCTGCCGGGCTGTGCCAAGTGCGAGTCGCCGAGGTCGCTGTGTCAGAGGGCAGAGTCCCTGCTCCACCAGTGCTGGGGGTGCTGGCGAGTTGGGGGGGGGCCTCCACCACCTGAGAAACGTTTATTGGCCAAGTAGAGCTGGAGTTGGAGGAATGGAGAAGCCAGGGGGCGGACAAACCAGGTGTCTACTGTGCACTCTGCCTAGAGCAGGCGGGCTTGGTTGGGATATGACATTCGTTCCGGAAGGCTCTTGACACTTGCTCCTGGACCCCGGGCTGCCTGATCCAGGGTCCGGCAGATCGCGGGTCCGCAGCGCCCAGGAGAACCGGGGAAGGTAGGCAAGTCGGACGCGCCCGGCCGGCGTCTACTTAAGCGCGCAGGTGCGGCGCGGGAGGCGGCCAGGAGAGCTGCGCGCGCTGCGGAGGCGCTCCGGACGTCGGAGGGGCGCTAGCGGTGACTCTCGGCTCTGGCGGGCTCCAGTCTGGGGGGCTCATCCCGGGGGCGCCGCGCCGGGCGGGGATTTGGGGGCTGCGGTGGCGCAGCCGCTGTTCCCGTGCCACCGCCTCATGACCGCGCTGCAGGCTCGGGCTCCTGCGCGAGGCTCATGCCTCTTAGGGGCAGCTGGCAAGCGGACTGGTTGTGGCACTGAGCAGGGAGCGCGGGGTCCTTGCTTCCGACACTCCAAAGAGCTGGGGCGGGCGGTGCGCTCAGGTCGCCGCAGTTGTCTCTGTTGGGTTGGCGTGGCTCTAGCTCCAGCCTTCCCGAAGAGGCTCGGAGTGGCGGGCGCTCCACAAGGCTGCAGCCTTTTATACTGCGTTCCCTTCCCTCCCACCCGGTTCCTCCCTCCTTTTTTCCCCTGCGCCAGCCCAGACTTTCCCTCCCGGTGAGCACAGCCCTAGCTCAGAGTTTGCACACCTTCCCACAGCCCTTTTCACACATTTCCATTTCGAGCCCGGACAGGACCCTAGTGCCACTGGATGAAACTTCGGATTTTCCTTTAGTGAATGAAATTAAATAAGAAGGCATTCTGACCGGTGTGTCTCCCTTATCCCATTACTAGAGACTGATAAAATATTTCTTCAACTACTTTTTGAGCCCAAATATTTTTTTGTTTTGTTTTTAAGTGCTTTTTGCTAATACCGTTTATTTTTTTATTTTTTAAAAATATTTTAATTTATTCTTAAAAATGTTATATTTATTATTTTTTTATTTTAGAATATTTTTATTATTCCAAAGAGAGGCAATTTTAAACACAGTTTTCCACAAATAACTTGAAGCAGGTTACATAAGCCTATGTATACAATGAAGTTTAAGGGTGGAAAAGTAGGGATGAGAAATCGAAGACCAAAGCCAGGTGTGGTGGCACATGTCTTCAGTCCCAGCCCTAGGGAGGCAGAGCCAGACAGATCTCTGTGATGGAGCTCAACTCTTTACGCTGAGCAGCCAGGACAAATTCTTTGGCCACTCCAAACGTTCCTCAGGTCGTAGCGGCATTTTGCAGAATTGAAATAGCTGTGATTCCGTATGGTGGTTGCATTTATTTGCATCTCACTATCTGCCTCTTTTTAGACACCTGAAGAGGAAGCATCTTTAACATTCTAACAGGCCCAGCAGCCCATTTTTAAATTGGCAGCAATTTTCCGTAGTGGGGGGCTCCCCCTCCCTGGGCGAACACTTGCTTTGGACTCAGCCTGCCTGGACTGATGGGCATCTTATTGGATCTCCAGGCTCTAAAGTGCCAATAATTGTCAACTGGAGCACTGAGGGAAGAAATTGAAACAATAAAACGTGGTGGTTCAGATGGGAGATCAAAGGGTATCCTAGCAGCTTTGGAATCCCATAAGGATCCCCCTGTGTGTTCTCTAATTAGAATCACTTAGGGGCAGGAGGCAGCAGAATCAGCGCAAGGGAGGAATACATATAAATTAAAATGGCAAACTAGAGTCCTATAGCCACAGATAGTATAAGAATGGCTTTACCTCGGGCTGTGCCAGGTGGTGATGCGGACACACAGGACAAATGACTCTGTTGCCAGAAGCAGGCTGGTCTAAATTAGGACCCAGGGGCTGCTGTATCGTACACTGACATTTTTTATGCAGTCTCTACATGTGAGCCTAAACTACCTTTCCTCTCATCTCAAAGCCATTTTTTTTTTTTCTGGTAAGGAAAAATGACTTAAGAAACCCTGAAAAGAAACTCTTGCAATGAATGTAAATTCTTGTAAAATTGTGAATGGATATTTAGAGATCAAAGTCTTTGTAAATGTTGTAAAAATTGCAAATTGAATTTTGGGGTCAGATGTCTTTATTAAATGCTGAACAAATGTATGAATGAATGCCATTAAAGTCACTTCATGCTGGGCATTCCAGATTCCAGGTGAGTTTATGCTCTGGTAAGCACACCCCAGTCACATTGTCAGACATGCGTGCTCTGTGACTACAGTTGCCAAACAAAGCTACCAGTGGTGGCTTGCTGTTGAGGGCATAGGGAGCACTGGCTTACAACTTGTATGAAAACAGAGCTACATATATAATACCTAAACAAATTGTGTTTCAAGCACATTTATGAAACTATGTCAGTAGCTGATGAAAGTTTGAAAATAATCCCATCTTCCTCAAAACCCCCATTCACCTTTATTACTCTTCCTATTCCCCAGCAGAATTTGTCTGTTTGCACATCTGCCTTACCAGCAGACCTGGATAAGGTCACCTGTCTGGGGGAACATTTTAGAGCCCTACTCAACCCTAGTATCACTTTCCTTCTTAGACCCACAGCTACAGCACATTTTCCAGGCACGTTTGGATGGAAGTGGGGCTGTAGAGCTCTGCTACTTCCACGTCTGATCGTAAGACCCGTTGAGTGCTTATCAACATATATGCTTCCTTCTCTTTCAAATGGCATGTCTAAGAGATGGAAGGAGCCCATACCTAGGTTATTGTTTGAAAGAGAGCTATTGCACCAGGAATATCTGCATTTATTTTGTTCATGTGAGAAATAGTCTCTTTTGCTCAAATATACTCTGGTTTTGATGTTTGCTAAATAATGGTTACCTATCATGACAGGTATAGTCTTCACAGGGCCACTTGCTTAATCATCATTAATATTTCTAGAAGTGAATACAGGCCTTACACAGAGTAAGTGTTCATGTTTTTCTATTAGTTCTATTAGCATATTAGTTGAATAAGGTAAGAGTTCCGTTAAGATACTTATGTACATGATTATGATGTACTTTTATCATCTTAAATCTCTCTGTTACTTTTTCTTATCTTTTCTCCTCCTTTCCACCCTTTCCCCTCCACATCCCTAATAGAACCCCTTTTTACCATGCCGGGTTCTACATAGGAGAGACAAGATGGAACACATATCTTTGGGGACTGGCATTCTTTTGCTTAACATGACAGTCTCTGGTCCCACCCATTTTCTTACCAGTGATGCAGTTTCATTCTTTCTGTACATATCAGAGTTTTATTATATGTGCATATATATCATGCTTTATTGACTCACCTGTTGATGGGTGTCTAGGCTGATTCTATATCTTGGCTGTTGTCAATATTGCAGCAATAAACATGGATATGCACCTATTTCTATGATATGCTAACTTGGATGTCTTTAGGTATATATATCCAGAAGTGTTATAACTGGATCATATGATAATTCTAGTTTAAATTTTTCTTTGAGGAACATCCATACTAATTTCTATAGTGTGTGACTAATTGATATTTCCCCCAAATTTTGGGGTGTGATGCAGTTTGGATTTGCATTTCCTTTGGTGGCTAAGGATGTTGAACATTCTAGATTTGGCAGTTTTTTGGACCCTACTTAACAAATCACCTGTCCTTGGACTCCCCTCTATTGCTGTCTGGCACATCAATGCTGTTAACTCTCCTGTCTCCTAATTGTGTAACCTCCCCATAGATTTTGTATTTACATCAGCCATATTTATGTGACAGGTTAGCATATTTGACTAGAATATTTAGAGAGAGTAAGAGAAATCAGCAACAAGCCACAATGATTATAGTTACTATCACTGAGGAGGTTGTGGTTTCATTGTGGTCTTTTATGGTCTAGAGTTCAATGTTTTTGCATTAAATTTTACTGAAGACTGGTATCATATACACATTTTATAAGTATATTCAAAATAAAGAGAAAATATAATAGATTCTCACATAACCTTAACTAACGTCAACAAATGTCACAGCCTATCTTGTCGTCTGAACAGTAGTCCTCTTGTTTGTAGTTTTGTTTTCTGTACAGTTTTCCTAGGTCAACCATGGTCTGAAAATATTAAAAAGCAAATGCCAGAAATAAAAACAACATTTTTCAAATTGTGTGTAATTCTGCATAGTGTGATGACGTGTCTGAATGCCCTGCTGTGTCCCAGCCGGGGTGCAAATAGTCCTTTTGTCTGCTCTGTCCACTCTGTGCACTGCTTGCCATCAATA